TGGACACTTGTAAATTTTATTATTGATACGTATTAAAATGGGTATGTGCATTTTAAACTTACCTATTAATTTTTTTTAACAAAAAAAATAATTATGCAAAATGAGAGTTGTAAACTTCCATGTATACGCTTGTAAATTTTACTATTATTTGTTGTTGAAATGCATTTGTGCACGTGTAAACTTGCTCATGATTACTTGTAAACTTTGAAGATAACATGTGATTTTGTAAATTAGGAGTTGTAAATTTTGTTATTATTAGTTGTAAAATGTGGATTTGCATTTGTAAAATAATGAATGAAGAGCGTTTTGATCATTCACAATCAAAACTTAATTTCATTAGTAAAATTTTAGGATTTTTTAAAACAGAATTGAAATAAAGTCACATCAGTGATTCTTTAATTAAATTCTCCCTAAATGAAAAAGGGAGATTAATATTATAAACACACATTCATCTATATTTTAACACTTACATTTAAAAATATGAAATGGAAAATAATTTCATTTGAGAAGGAGATAAGTTTTAGTTCAATTTCATGCAATAAGATTATTTATAATCATGATACATTTTAGTATAATTCTAATCATAATGTATTACAACAAATTATATAATTTCCATTACAAAGTTTCAGCCGTATAATCTGAATTCCAACTTCAAACTTACTCCGTATATGGATTAGTATTTAGGCCTTTATATTCTCCATTTAGTCTTAATAAAGTTAAAAAGATTAGTTTACAATTATTTTTATTCTTTTAAGATAAAATATAAGTTTTATTTAAAGTTTTTTTTTATGACATACCAAACAAATTCTGTGTGATTGACATCTCATCATAGTCTATTACCTATTATTATATTCTGTTAAATTTGCCCTGATTCTTCGAACAAACCACACTAAAAAAGCAACCAATACTTCAATAGTGGGTTTGATGATGACTCCTCAGAAGGCCAGAGGCCAAAAGTTTAGCTTTTTTTGCAATAAAGAAATAACAAAAGAAAAGCTCTGCCATCCTAGCCCTACGTGCTAATAGCTGGTGTCTGCAGTCATCACAGAGTTCATTATATAATATATACATATAAAGGTCAATTATGTCTCATCATATTGTTATATTTTTCGGTAATCTTATTATGAGAATTGAAAGAAATAATATAATAAACAGTATGGACATGTTATTATTTTTTTGTATTGAATTACGTATTGCCCATATGTTGTGAGACTTTTTTATGATTACATTATTTTCTTAGAATTTAATATTGATTTTTCTCATTTTTATGCCTTGCGATTCTTCATTTATTTTTATTCGTAAAATGAACTAGGCCATCATTTCATAGTGTTGGTTCATTTGAAATAGTCATGTGATCATGTGGATTGACCATTAAAGAAATTAGATAGCCTAAAATATAATAAATATAATCAATATTTGACTTGAGTACTCGTAATTAAATAAAGTAGTAAAAAATATAATAAATAGAAAAGTAGTGAAGGGAGAATAAAAAAATACGAGTATTAATTAATTATTTACTTAAATTTTAAAAAGACAAATATATATTGAGTAACAGCACAAAAAGAAACCATGGATAAATATTATGAGAATACAGGAGGCCGGTAAATCCAACTAACATTAGCAAATCATCCTTTTAAACGAGGGTATTATTATTTTATTACATAAAAAATTCTGATGCCTTTTAATTTAAAGAGGTATTTCTAGTATGAATATGAACTTAATCAAAATATTAGCTACATCCAATCTTTAGTATAAGAGTTGGACAAGAAATTTATTTTTACTCTGGATATAAGACTTCAATATATTTTTTTTCTGTAAATTTACAATTTTCTCCTTAAAATAATTCTTATGAAAATTGCATATGTTAAGGGATTTCTATATCATGATTAACAATCATATTTTAGAAAAAATAATATTCATTTATTACAAATAGTTAATTTAACAAATTTTCTTAATATATATTCATAAATTAGTTATCTAATTCTTATATTATACCATTGATCTTTAATATAAGAGCTAATTTGAGAATTGAGTTTGGTCCTGAATATAAAATCTTAATTTATTTTGTCTTCCATATTTTTTCTTCCTAATCATCTCTACTGATTACATATGTTAAGAAAGTTTGCACGTAGTTTTAATGCAAATAATTTAAAAGAATATTAAGGAAACTAACACATAGGGCTGTGCAAAAACCCGGTGGTCCGGTATGGTCCGGTCCAACCCGAACAAACCCGGTCCAGTCCAATCCAGAAAAAATTGGCCTGAAACAAGACTGGACCAGACTGGACCGGACTGGTCTCATCGGGTTGGACTGGACTAGGGACTGACCCCTCAGACCAGTTGGTCCAGTCCAGTCTAGCCCAATTTTTTTAAATTATTATTTATATAATTTTAATTTGATTTAATTTTTCTATATAAATTTTTTATCTATTCAAATAATTAAGATTTATCTATTAACTTTCGAAGTAATGAGCATGCATATATATTTTCTACAATTTAAGATCTATATTGATGAGAATTAATTAATAAAACATGACTTCATTGGGAAATTGAAAAGGAATGATCAAATTTGATAAATTTTGAATTAAAATATGTGTAAAATTTTATATAGTGAGTTACAATCTTGCCTCCTATTGAAGAAAAATTTTTTTTTTTAAAAATTAAAATTAGCTCTGGACTGCCTGGACTGATCCAGGCAATCCAGAGGACCAAGTCTAGTCCAACTCGACCTCGGGTTGGCACTGGACTGGACTAGACCTCGGGCTGTTTTTTTCAGCCCGAGGTCTTTACTGGACCAGACTTCGGGTTGATAACAAACCCGGTCCAGTCTAGTCCATGCACACCCCTACTAACACATATTTTTAAGAGATATTCAATTAGTCTTCTCAACAAACTCAATATATGTAGTTAAATAAATCTTATATTCCTTCTGTTAAATATAAAACTCATTTTATAGTATAATTTATACTATAAAAAATATTTTATATTTAGATGTATGATTAAGAATTGGAGGTGTAGTATAGCTAATTCCCATTAAAAAGGGGATGGGAGGGCCCCTGGGTAGAGCCGGGAAAACGGGCCGAGCCCGTCGGGCCGGCTCTTTTAGGCCCTGAAATTATGAGGGCCGGGCTTGATATTTTTCTCTTAAAATAAGAAATAAGCCCTGGAGGGCCGCGGGCCGGCCCTTTTAAGCCCTTTTATAATTTTTTTTATTTTTTAAATTTTTTTATATAATATTAATGCTATTAATTTTTTATATTGTTAATAATATTTCAAATATTTAGTTATTATTATCATTTTAAAATTAAATTTAGTTTTAGACAATAATTTATCCAATTAAATTTTTAAAAAATGGGTTAATTTGGACTTTAATAATAATTTGATTTATATTATATGCGTTGATATTTTTAAACTATATATATATTTGATAATAGAATATTTTTATACTTATATAACTTTTGATTCTATAATTTGAATTAGAAATTCATGAGTTTCAACAACAATGTTTCTCACATTAAAGTAAAATAATAGTTAGATTGCAAAATTTAAAAATAAAATTCTTATAAAGAAGAAAAACTAGATATTTTTGTTACGAAAGAAAAGTATACTTATGAAGAAAAGTAATTAATTATAGTGATGATGAAGTTTCAAAAGATTAATGATAATGTTTATTTATTACACAATTACATTATAGATAAAACTTTTAGATGTTGTTATCTTATTAATGAATGTTTTAAATGTTCTTAGATATTGATGAATATTTATATATGATGACATTTTATATTTGTGACTTAATTTTATTCATATTTATGTCTTTTATTAATAATTTCATTGGTTTATTTTTATATTTTTATAAAAAAACATGATAAATATAAAAAATAGTATTTTTTCTTAAACGGGCCAAAAGCCCGCGGGCCGGCCCTGACCCTGTAGCTTAAGGGCCGGACTTAGCAAATTGGGATATTTTTAAAATTTCAGCCCTGGAGGGCCGGTCCTTTTAAACCCGCCAGCCCTGAAAGGCCGGTCCTGGAGGGCCGGGCCGGCCCTGATTCCCAGCTCTACCCCTGGGCGCGTCCCCTGATCAAGTGGGCTTGGATTAGCTAGTGACCATTGACTGACTTGGGACACGTCTGGCGGCTATACATCTAAAAGTGTGAGGGTGGTTTCTGTTTTCAAACTCTTTTTTGCCCTTTTGGTTGGAAAAGTCATCCTAGGACATTATGATCCAAACTGCCGACAGCCTCATCCGTCCCTCCACGTGGTTCCATCCTCCTGCTTATCAAAAGTCAAAACTGAGTTTTGACAACCCACCGTCTCACTACACGAACCCTAACCGCCCAGCGTCTCTCCAGCGACTTGAAGATGCTCTGAACAAGACTACCTGAAAATCTTTCTCTTTGCTTGCCTTCCAACTTCCTTCCTAAATCTTCCGAATCCACTTCAATCACCAATTTTTTAACTCTCAGATCTCAGGCAATTTTCAGGATTTTCTTCACACCCCAGGCCTCTGTCACACCGCAGAATCCCACTTGCTCTGCAAATCCGCCAACCCAACGTCCTTCATCATTACGAATCAAGCCTCCGCAACCTGAATAACCAGGATTATCTCTACAAGCACCATCGGAGTTCGCTTTGAACCACCCTTTTTCTGGCTTCTTCCAATAGGAATCGACATGAATAACTGCTATCCGACGAGCAAGGGTATGCTCTAAATGTTAATCAAGCACCATTCTGTTTTCAAAATGCTTTGTTTTCTTTCATTCTGTGGCGCACTGAAAGTGTAGAACTAAACAAAAGACGACCACGGGTATGCTATAGATGTTAATTAGGCACTACCGAGAGGGTTTTATTATTGAGAGTTTTGTCGCCGAAAGATTCCCTTTTACTAATTTAATTTGAATAGCTGTATTATCATCTAAGTATCGTCAATATATAATAGACTGAAATGCCAAGTTAGGGTCACAGAGTTCACCTACTTTTCAAACAGTTCTCATATGGCTATGGCTGGTGCAGGCATCGCTGCAGCTTCTGGTCCCTCTGCTCCGTCAATGGCAGTTTCCGGTGCTGCTGCTGGTCCCTCTACGCATCCAATTCCAACTCAGTCGATGCGTTATCAGGTTTTCCTGAGTTTTAGAGGCCCAGATAGTCGCAAAACTTTCACTGATCATTTATATGCTGCGTTAGACAGGAAAGGGCTTGTAACTTTTAGAGATGACAGAGAAATTGAGAAAGGAGAATTTGTTCCGAAGAAACTCCGTAAAGCTATTCGGCAGTCTTGGTATTTCGTTATTGTCCTCTCTAAAAATTTTGCTTCTTCCCGGTGGTGTTTGGATGAACTGCAGCAGATCGTGGAAACCAAACCAGAGCAAACAGTCTTCCCGGTTTTTTATGATGTAGAACCGGGTGACATTGGACAAGCTTTAGCTGTACTTGAAAACACAGCTTCAGGGGAGATAACAGGACGATGGAAAGAAGCTTTGTCTAGGGTTTCCAAATTCGGTGGTTGGCCCACTAAAGATAAGTAAGATTTATTCTCTGCTAATCATTCTTTCTTTCACGCTGCGTTCAGATCTAAACACTACTTGGACTTATTCTTCAAAATGTATAGATGAGCTTCTTAGTTATAAAAATAGAATGGTGGTCTAATTTGCGTTAGTATAATTTACTTTCTCTTTTTCAAAGATGAAGTTTGTGTTATATACACACGTTACATTCAGTCCATAATATAAGAGTTTAGATAACTAATTTAAAGAGATTAAAAAAAATTAACTAAGTTAGTTATTTATAATAAATATAAATTGACTTTCATAAACTATTATATTTAATTATGTGCATTAAAACTACTTTTTGGTGGAAGTTTCTTATAATTAATAGGGATATTTTGAAAAAAAAATTATAAATTTGAGAGAAAAGTGGATCAATTAGAATCTTATGTTTATAATCAAATCTAATCTCTAACTAACTCTTATGTTAAACATTAGATCTATAATATATGCATATATATAGTGTGTGTGAATGAGGAATGCAAATAGTTAGTCATTTAGCGTTTGTGTAAAATACATCAACATTGCCTTTATTTAACCTAAATTAAAGTGGCATACTTTTTATTTTGAAAACCTATATGGAGCACTTTTAAAATCAAAATATATGTTTTTAAAACTTTCCTTCAACTTTTGACATTTTACTTTCATTCATCCAATTGTTAATTTATCATTAAATCATAACGTGACTCGTTATTTTGACCAAAGCACCCTTTCTTAAGACAAATATTACTTAATAATTATCATTTAATCACATATGTCATATGTTTAAGCCAAAAATAATTTTAATTTTTTTTGTTAGACTATTGAATCAATTATTATATTAAAAATTTAATTAATTTTATCAATATAAATTTAATTTTTCAATAAATTTAAATGATTAATCTTGTCTTTTAAATATATATTTTGGTTAAACATGTTTGGCAATCGTATATATGTATTAGTTAAATTATAAATTTTAAAAAGTATAATATTGAGATCCATGTATTAATATGTTATAATTCAAAAATTTTAAATGTGTGTCTTGAGACATATCTTTGTTTAAAAAAAAAATTTACTCAAATTTTCAATCACGTTAATATTTTAGGTTACTTAAACTTTATTTAAATTTAATAAAAATATTAAACAGATCATTAATTCATATCAATGTTAAAAGATAAATTAGAGATTTAGTGTGATAGGGTGTAAATTAGTAAAAAAGATTTATTCTAATATGGTTCTTGACTACTTTTATGTCTTTCCCTATATTTGTATTGCAATTTCTTTTTAACTTATTAGAGTATTAATAATTTGAGCTCCACAGGCATGAAGCGAAACTAGTCGAAGAAATTGCCACATGCATATGGAACAAAGTATGCGATCAACTGCCATATAATTTGGAACATTTAGTTGGAGACATTCAATCAAAAGTAGAAAGGATAATCTCCCATCTGGGGATAGGATTGGATCATAAACGCTTTATAGGAATATGGGGAATGGGTGGCGTAGGCAAAACAACCCTGGGTCGTGTTGTTTATGATGCTGTCCGTAAAAACTTCGACGCTAGTTGTTTTCTTGCCGATATAAGGGGGGAGTCAAAAAAGTTTGGCTTAGTTCACTTACAAAAGAAGCTTCTTTCTGATCTTCTGAAAATAAAAGAACCAAATATAAAAGATTTCTTTGATGGAGCAGACACAATAAGAAGTTTTTTATGCCATAAAAAAGTTCTTATTGTTTTGGATGATGTGAGCCATAGAAGTCAACTAGACTATTTGGCTAGAAACGAGGAGTGGTTTGGTGCAGGAAGCAAACTAATAATTACTACAAGAGACAAACACTTGCTGACACAATATGAACATTCTTATGAGCATAAAGTTGACATGTTACGTGATGATGAATCCCTTAAGCTCTTACGCCAGAAAGCATTCAAGAAGGATCAGTCAGGAGAAGCTTTTACAAGTTTATCAAACAAAGTAGTTGGATATGCTGGTGGACATCCTATGGCACTTGAAGTCTTAGGATCATTTCTTTGTGCAAGAAAACACTATGAATGGACACGCACAATAGATAGGTTAAAGCAAAATTTACGTAAAGAAATTTTAAGCCGACTTCGCATTTGTTATGATGAACTGGAAGAAGAATACAAGGCAATATTTTTGGATATTGCTTGTTTCTATAACAAGGAGGCCAAATATAAGGTGAAAAATGTGTTGAAAATATGCGGTCTCGATGAGATAGTTGGAATTAAAGTTCTTACTGAAAGATCATTGCTAAGTTCCTCCCAATCAAATTTGATATTTGGGGCGCATGCAAGAGAACCTCAGAACATGTATGATAGTCTTCAAAAGAAGAGAGGAAACACTGGAATGGCAGCATTTTCATACATGGCGTTGGAAGAAGAAGCTTCAAAAGAATACCTGTATATGCATGATTTGCTTCAAGAGATGGGAAGGAACATTGTCCTTCAAGAATCCCCAATTAATGCTGGTAGACGCAGCAGATTGTGGTCATCAGAGGATATCGATCTTGTATTGAAAGAAAATAAGGTAAATTTTCCTTTCCGAGTGTGTTGATGTTACTTTATGCAACGTATTATTTGCTTCCTATCTTATTATCTTTCACCATGTCTAATTATCTTCATACATGTACATTTTAGGGAACAAAACACGTTCAAAGTATAGTTTTGGATACACAGCAAAATGTTTTGGAGACACAGCAAAATGTTATTGACGCGTATTGGGACGCTAACTGCTTTTCAAAGATGACAAATCTTAGATTGCTGGACTTGAGGAAGGATCAGCTTTTGAGAAAGCCAGAGTCTCTTCCAACTGCATTGAAATTTCTGAGATGGGATGGGTATGCCTGGGATTCTCTGCCATCAATTGAAACACTAAGGAATCTGGAAAGCCTTCAATTATGCAAGAGCAAAATCAGAAAACTGTGGGAACAAAGTCCGGTATATTTTCCTCCCATGCAACAATTTTGAATAATACACGCAAATGTTATCATACACTGGAAATACTAACTCGTCCTCCTTGTCATGTCTTATTTGTCGATCAGGTCTTGAATAAGCTGAGGATCATTGACATGAGTGGTTCTGAATCTCTAAGGGAAACCCCAGATTTCGGGGGAACACCAAACCTTGAAGAGCTGTGGCTTAATAGATGCAGAAAGCTAGTCCAGGTTGATGAGTCTGTTGGAAAACTGAAGAATCTCGTTAAGTTGAGTTTGGAAGAGTGTAGAAGCCTTGAAAGTCTTCCCACTACATTGGAAACGGACAATCTGCAAGAGTTCATTCTCAAGGGATGTTTCAACCTTGCGAAGCTCCCTGAGTTTAGTGAAAATATGGGAAGTCTATACTTCTTTGATGTGAGCTACACTGGCATCACTGAAATTCCTGCATCCATCAAATATTTAAAAAATCTCCGGATTTTAAACTTGTGGGATTGCAACCTAAAGATCCCTCCAACAGCTCTATCTGAAGATCTTCCAAGTGGTTTAATTGTATGTGGACACAAATCATCTACCAACATATTTACAATATCTGAATCTAATGATCTTCCTGCGTCGCATGTTCTAGAGGTACTCATCTTCATACCTCTCTCTGTTCTTCATATTATTTTACATGTTTTCACAATTTTAAATTAAGAACAAATTTATTATTTTTAAAAAATCATTATGCCATTATGTAATATTTTTGTCATGGTTTTCTTAATATACTTCCCCCACCTAAATAGGAGTTAGAGAAATAACTTTCTTCAGGTTACAGAACTAATTTAATTTGTAGATTAAAAAAAATAATTTAGTTAGTTATTTGTTAAAAAAAATGTGTCGTTTTATTTAAAATACCTCATTTAATCTTACATTGGAAATTACTCCTCCATGAAAATTCTAAGTATAATTAATATAGATAGTTTAGTAAAACAAATTAATTTGGAATATAATTTTTTTTTTTGGTGAGAGGAAGATAAAGTGATTTAAGACTAAAGCTAACATCTCAAATTTAGGATTTGAGGGAGTAACTTCTTAGCTTTTGGTCTCCTAAATATTTGTGTCAAGTCAAAACGGTTGTTCCAGTAGGTCAAATGGAGATTTTACATGAGATCATCAACTGATAAAAAAGACTTGGTGAGATTTAAACGGCCCCTTTTTCGTATTAGAGAAACAATACAGAGTTTGAACGGCTCATGTATATTGATTTGCAAATTCCCCCCCTAAAGCTATCAACATCTTTTTCTTTTTATCTTTTTGGTTCCAGCGTCCTGTGGATCTGCAGGGTCCCGTTCACATCCTTGGTGAGTTCCGAGCTGGGGCCGCAATCTTAGAATGGTTTGACTGTACGGAATACTATTGGGGTAAGGATCCCTCAGCTGAATTTGTAACCATAACAGCAGACATACCTTCCGAAGCAGACTCTAATGAAGAATGCTGGGGAATTGCTATATGCCTTTTCCTTAAACCCCCATCTCTGGCATCGCAAAGGAGTTATATAGTTCGGAGGTTCGAAGATTATTGCCATACCAATAAAACTAATCAAATGGATGAAAACCTGACGCCGGATGATGACTGGGTGGTTTATGTAGGATTTTACCCTTTCAAGTTGTCCCCCAGAAGGAAAGATAAGAAACGCAAGGATTTAACTGTATCAATTCTAAAAACCGGCACTGCTACTGCGGATCACCGTGACTGGGCAATAATGGGATGTCGGTGGCGTTGGACAAGGAAACACTATTTTGATGAATGGTTGACAGAGAGAGAAACATCACCTTCAACGGCAGAAAGTGAGTTCCAGCTGATTGGCTCCAATGGCAGAAAGATCATTGAAGTGGGTGCAGCTTATTCCCCCTTCAAAGGTATAGCAGCTTGCGGGGGGATCATCAAGGATGGTCAGAATTATTGTTTTGTTGAGGCTTTCATTCTCAAGCCTATCTCTGGAGATGCTCTGACGGCGGAGCTCTGGGGTTGCTTAATGGGTCTTAGGCGAGCCTGGGATTTGGATGTCAAGG